CAGGAGGGACTCGGGCCCAGCGGCAAGTGGGACACTGGCCTGCAGAGGGCGTTCTGGAGCTGGAAAAAGAGCTAATTCCCAGGAAACCAGCAGGAGGCACCGCAGGGGTGAGTCTCGCACTGTTACACTCCAGTAATCTGGTACAACGGCTGATTTAAGTGATAGGTTGCAGAACTACAAACTGTGATATGTGATTTCATATCTGAGTTCCTTCAAAACTCTTGGGTGAATACGATCTGGTTCTGGTGACCTATTACTTATTATTAGTTTGTTCCAAAACCTCCTCTATTGACCCCTCAATCTGAGATGGTTCCTCACATCTGTCACCTAAAAATCTACCTCACATCCTTTGCAGTGAAGACCAATGCAAAGAATTAATTTAGCTTCTCTGCAATAGCCTTAAGTGCTACTTTAGCACCTTGATTGTCTGGTGGCCTGACTGACTGTTTGACAGCCTTTGTGCTTCTGATTTACTTTTAAAAAATTTTGCTGTTAATTTTTGTCTCTTTTATGAGTTGTTCTTCAAATTCTTTTTTGGCCACCCTAATTATACTTTTACACTTGATTTGTCAGAGTTCCTGCTCTTTTCTATTTTCATCACTAGGATTTGGCCTCTAATTTTAAAATTATGTCCTTTTGCCTCTAACCACCCCTTTTACTCTGTTATTAAGCCCTGGTGGCATTTTCTTGGTGGTCTTACTATTTATTTATTTTTAAATAATTTGAGATATGCATTTAGTTTGAGCCTCTATTTTGGTGTTTTTAAAAAGTTTCCATGCTGCTTGCATCCATTTCACTTTTTTGACCCTTACTTCTAATTTCTGTTTAACTAACTTGCCTTTTTGAAATTAAATGCTACTAGAGGTGGGTTTCTTTGGCATTTTCCTTCTACTGCATGTCAAATTTAATTACTTTATGGTTGCTATTATCAAGCAGTTCAACTCTTGGACCAGATCCTGTACACTACTTAGGACTAAATCAAGAATTGCCTTTGCCCTTTTGGGTTCCAGGACTAACCGCTACAAGAAGCGGTCATAAATGGTGTCCAGAAATTTGATTGTGCATCCCGTCCTGAGGTGACATGTTCTGAGGTGATAAATCCTCCCTTATTAGTGAGTTTTCTGTTTTGTAACCTCTCTAATCTCCCTGAGCATTTCACAATCACCGTCACAATCACCGTCACCATCCTGGTGAGGTGATTGGTAGTATATTCCTACAGTTGTACTCTTATTATTCAAGCATGGAATTTCTATCCATAGAGATTCTATGGTACAGTTTTGATTAAGATTTTTACTTTATTTGACACTATATGCTTTCTTTCACATATAGTGCCATTTTGACTTAATATTAGTGGAAATCAGTAGGGATGATCTTAATCTCAGCCCAGTTAATTGAAAGAGATCTTGGGTAGACAAATTACAAAAGATAATAAAACTAAGATTAATTGGGAGAAAAGTGTACAGTAAGGCAGTTCAGATCTTAAGGGAAAAAATGTATTTTCTGTATTATTTTAAGAGTTACATTTTTCACTATATTGTCAGTAAGCACTTGAGTGGACTGGGATTTTAAAGTTGCTTTTTTAATGCTATTTGGATCCTGATCCAAAGACCATTGAAGTCAATAGGACTCTTTTCATTGACTTCAGTGGGCTTTGAGTCAAGCCCTCTGTTTGGAAGATCTCCTAACTAGTGTCATCTTTAAGTGTTTTTTAAACCTGCAGCTTTCCTTGTTGTTTATGCTTTTTAAAAAAAAAAAAAAAAGAGGGAGTCTCTTATTGGAATGAGATAACTGAATGTTCTGATCACATTGGGGCATGCTAGTTTCAAGTAAATAGTGTTTGCATATTTGCTGAATAGTGGTTTAAAATGCTGTGGCCGGGGTCCCAGAGAGCCACACTGGAGTTACCCAATTAGGGTGAACTGCAAAGAATGGGGCAAACAATCTGCAAAGCTGGTGGATATTCCAATACTTAGATTTACCAAGCCAGCACAAAACAGTTTCTATAATACCTCACTGGTTACCCAGAAGTCAACAACACAGTTCCCTAAAGCAACTCAGCCTTAGGCCTCTACCCAGACACCCAAGTCAAATATGATGAAGATTACTGAAAATCTTATTCATCATATAAGAAAGTTCTACCAATCCCAAAGGATCGGACACATTACTTCCCAGATTAATGAATATTCCAGATCTTACCCAAATACACGCTACAGCCAATTCTTATTAACTAAACTAAAATTTATTAAAAAAGAAAAGAGAGAGAATATTGGTTAAAAGATCAGTATACATACAGACATGAGTACAGTTCTGAGATCAGATTCATAGTAAAGATGGTGAGCTTTGTAGTTGCAAAGAGTTCTTTCAGAACTAGTCCATAGGTTATAGTTCAATGTTCATATTCAGGGTGATCCAGATGGGACTGGAGATCTCAGTTTTACAACTCAAGCTTCCCCTGCATGAAGCATCAAGCAGATCTGAGATAAAAAGGATCAGGACCCAAGACATCTTTATATAGTTCCAGGCCTTCTTTTGACAGCTCGGAGTCTTTAGGCGAACAGTTGGCAATCATGGAGACTTTGAAGTAGACCTATTTCCTAAGCATCATGGGTAATTAGCTACAGGGATTAACATAAGGCAATTGCCTGTCTTCCACCATTCGCAGATTATTTGCTATACATTTCAGAGAGAGATGAATACAGTGATATCACTATGTTTACAGTTCATTTAAATGTTAATATTTCCTTTTGATCTCTGAATTAACAAAATATAGCATAGACAGGGACTGCTTGATTACATTGTTAACCTCTAACAATATATATGTAAACACACAAAAACACAAACTGCTTAACTCTTTCTGGCCATGTGTCACAAATGCAAATAAATATTTTTAAATAGTCTGAAAAAGGGAAATAATGCTTTACTAAAATGTTTGAAATCTGAACAACTGCCATTTTCCATTGTATTTTGCTGCTTTTTTTTTTTTTATTTTCTCATTTTCTGGTTTCCTTAGTTGAAAACCCAATTTTAATACCAACCTCACTCATATGAAAGTGCCTCTTTTAATCTATGAAGTACTGATGAACAAAGGAAGATATGCCTATAATCTCGTGTTCTGCTAGGCTCTCAGATGTCAGTCCTGACAACTAGATTATACCATTCCACACACGCCTCCCCTTCATTGCTAAACTTCCTGATCAAGCACTGCACAACCATTGCATTGACTTTCTTTCTCTCAACATCATAACAAAGGCGTAACAAAAACCAATGGCTGGAAACTGGCACATTCATTAGAAGTTAGACACACATTTTTAACAGTGAGGGTGATTAACCCCCTGGAACAAACTACCAAGGGAAGTGGTTGATTCTTCATCTCTCAACATCTTCAGATGAAGACTTGATGCCTGTCTGGAAGTTATGTTTTAGACAAATACAAGTTAAGGGCTCAATACAAGAGTAACTGGGTGAAATGTAATTGCCTGTGAATATACAGGAGTTCAGACTAGCTGATCCAATGGTCCTTTCAGGCCTTAGATTCTATGAAACTTCATCTTAGATCCCTTCCAAACTGACTTCTGCTTTCTCTGCTACTTAAATTGCTCTCATTGAAGTCTTTAATGATCTTTTTCTGGCCATATTTCAGGGCCTCTACTCATCTTCATCTTCTTTGCTGCTTTTTGATGTTGTCAGCCTTCTTCTTCTTCTAGACATTTGATGCTGATTGGGTTTTTGAGATAGTGTCCTCCCTTGCTCTTCTTCCCGCCTTTGATAGTTCTGTCCATATCTCTCTTGGTGGGTTCCTCCTCTCCTCTCTCTTGAGGTTTCCCCAATGCTCTGTCCTTGTCTCCTTGCCATTCTCACTTAATGTCCTGCCTCTAGATAATCTCACTAGCTCATACGGTTTCAGGTGTGATCTCTTAAAAATCTATTTCTCCACTGAATAACTGTCTCCTTAGATTGACTCCTGCATCTCATTTTATCTCTGGCATCTCCTCTTGGATGTCTTGTAATCAGTTTAAGCTGATGACATGGTCAAAGGAGACTCCTAATCTTCCATTCCAAACCACCTACCTTCTTTCACTGTTGACACACCATGATTTCTGTCATCTCAGGGTTATTTTCCCTTCCCCTTTCCTTGTCCCACAAATCCAGTCCCTATATAAGTCCTGCTAATTCTTCCTCCCCAACAATTCAAATTCCATTGTTTTATTTGCATCACTACAGCCAAATCTCTCATTCTGGTCTTCATTATATTCTGCCTTAACAACTGCAATAGCCTCTCTCTGGCCTTCCAAATGCACACTTTGTCCCCATCAAATCATACAAATTGCAGCTGCTAAAGTCCTTTTCCTTGTCATCAAGTTGATCATGCCACTCTCTTCTGTAAAGAGGCTACCCATCCACTCTTGCATCTAATTTAAGCTTCTTTGCACTAATTTTAAAGCTCTGATTCTGCCCCTTATTGAGCTTTGCAACACCTATCCCTTGCACCACTAGTATTCCCCTGCCATGTCCAGCTGTTTGTTAGCTTATCACACAATTGCCTCCATGTCCTCTCCCATGCAGCCCCATACATGGTACAACCTCCCTGAGCTCATCTGCAAAGCTCTACCCTATTCACATTAGAAGCCTCTCTTAAAGAGTCACTTCTACCATGCTTCTTACAATGAATGGAGATTACTTTTATATAAAATGTTATTGTTTCCCTTACCTTAACCTCTGTCTGTTTGTCTATTTATCCTTAGATTTTCCTTAGATCTCTTAAGATAGGGACTCATGCTTTCTTGAATATCTGGAAAGTACTTAGCATGTTATGGGTACTACTGTAAAACAAATATTTGTGTGATTCTGAGATGCGGCTCTTTTGAGAAGACTAGAGAAATCACTATCATGTGCTAGAGTCTCACACACTTGACAGCAATAAAACAAAATTATATAATTTATACGTATTAAGATAACCTCTCTGTAAGCAATGAAAACATCAGTTTCACTGTTTTTTTCAGCTAGAAGATGATATTGTGGCAAAACCTCAGTACATTCAGAAAATAAAAAACTTTGCTCTTGAACAGCCCTCTGATGAGTGGATGATTCTTGAATTCTCTCAGCTTGGATTTATTGGTAAGTGTTGCAGCTCCAGCAGGATCACTAGTGGTCAGCTCAAACTCAGAGGTGCACTACTAATGTAAATTTTATATGGAATTGTGTTTCAACTCCTGGAAAGGCTAATCCCCAAAATCCCTGATTCTCTAGGAAATGCTACAACCACGTCAGACTCCCAATCTATGTTCAGAGTCTCTCACTGTCCATGCTGTATGGCACTATCCTTATAGTGCAGGATCCTATCAACCCAAGATCCAGTCACATTGTATTCATTCCCACAGGGAACAAGAGGTCCTACCATGTTCCCAGCGCCTATTTAACTGTCTACACACTTAACTGGACCCAGGAGTTAGCCCCTCCCTCCAAGCCTGACAACACTGCTCTACAGCCAAAATGCTTCTGAAATAAATGTAGTCAAACTTTACTAATTCTGGGTCACTGAGAACGAAAATGATGCTTAAAATTGTTGATTGGCTCTAGTTTTCAAGATATGCTATTGGGTCAGTATATACGACCCTTGACTTGGGAATGGCGGAGGATAAGTGAGTTATAAAGGGAAGGAATCTCAATTTAAACCAGAAATTACTAAAATACATCTTTGACTGGATCTATGAATAAATCTATGACTGGGTTTGGACAGTACTTGCTTTTTAGGCAAAACAATGAATGATGCAATCTGAAGCTGGTATTGCGTCATACATGATATGAATTGCATCATGTTATTCCTAGAAGTCATGGATGATGCAATCATAATGAAGCTTACATCACTCTGCTGAATAAATTGCCCTATATCAGCTCTAGAAATCATACAGTGTCGTGCTCTCTTATTTGTCAGTGTTTGATTTTGCAAAGGGACACATTTCTGTTTAGCCAAAGTGAGCAGAGATGCCTCGTACTTGTGGGAACAGTGCAGATAACTTCTGCTATGTTTGTGGTGAAGTGACTTTTGCATCACAAAAGCGCAGTATAACCACTATGGTTAAGAAGTCCTGATCTCCAATTTTGCAGCCAAAATAAAGGTGATAGGCTAAGAGGTGGGCCCCACACATATGCTGCAACACTTGTGCAACAAATCTTCGCCAGTGGTTGAACAGGAAAAGGAAATCTATGCCTTCTGCAGTGCCAATGATTTGGAGAGAGCCAACAGATCATACCAGCAATTGTTACTTCTGCATGGTGCCTCCAGTTGGGAAAGGTGTGTCAAAGAAGAAAAAGTGGACTGTGCATTATCCAAACATTCCATCAGCTATACGCCCAGTACCCCCCGGAGAAGGACTGCCGGTTCCTGATGCACCAGAATCGTTCTCACTTGAGTCAGACGAGGAAGAGGATGAAACTTCTGGTCCTGAACCATCAATGTCACAGGACCCACATTTTCTCCCATCCTCCTCCTCTGAACCACACCTCATAACACAAGGTGAACTGAATGACCTTGTCAGGGATTTGAAACTACCCAAGAGTAAGGCAGAGCTGTTGGGCTCCAGACTACAGCAGTGGAATCTCCTGGCAGGTGATGTTAGGGTTTCCATGTTCCGTGACCGTCAAAAGGATCTTGTCCCATTCTTCTTCATGGAAGGTGATCTTGTAGCCTGCAACAACATCGATGGTGTGATGGCAGCCCTCAACATCGTTCACGATCCAGATGAGTGGAGACTGTTCATTGATTCATCGAAGACGAGTCTTAAAGCTGTTTTACTGCCTAATAGCAATGTTTTGCCATCAATTCCAGTTGGTCATGCAGTCCATATGAAGGAAACCTATGACAACATGAAACAACTTTTGAGGTGCATAAACTATGACCAACATCAGTGGCAGCTTTGTGGCGATTTGAAGGTTCTTGCTCTCTTGCTTGGTCTGCAGACTGGATACACAAAGTACTGCTATTTTCTCTGCGAATGGGATAGTCGTGCAAGAGATTCCCACTATATCAAGAAAGATTGGCCACTCCGACAGTCATTGGAGCCTAGGAGGAAAAGTGTTCAGCATCCACCACTTGTTGAATCAAGGAAGATTTTGTTACCACCCTTACACATCAAGCTGGGTCTGATGAAGAACTTTGTCAAGGCCATTGACAAAACACAAGCAGCTTTCAAGTACCTCCGTGGAAAATTTCCAAGGTTAAGTGAAGCTAAGATAAAGGAAAGTGTCTTTGTTGGTCCTCAGATTCGTGAACTTCTTGGAGATGATGCATTTGACCATGCACTGCGTGGCAAGGAAAAGACGGCCTGGAAAGCCTTCCAGTTAGTGGCAATAAATTTTCTCGGAAACAACAAGGCAGACAACTACAGGTTGTTGGTGGAAAACCTCCTCAAGGCATACAAAAGCCTTGGTTGCAACATGTCACTAAAGATACATTTTTTGCACTCTCATCTAGATTTTTTTCCACCGAACTGCGGAGCAGTGAGCGACGAGCACGGCGAGCGATTTCACCAGGACATTGCAACAATGGAGAAACGCTATCAGGGCAAATGGAGCCCATCAATGCTTGCAGACTATTGCTGGACAGTGACAAGAGATGCTCCATTTAATGAATACAAGAAACAAGCCAAGAAGCGCCGAGTAGACACTGAATAGGACTAAACTATGTACAGAATAGTTTTTTGCCTTTTGTTTCATCATAAATTTTATTTATATAACCCTTTTGCTGATTTTTAAAGTGTTACTTAAACAGGACAGGTGAAATATTATCATGTAAAGCAACCATAAACACATGAAAAGACCTAGGTTTACAATTTATGATTCAAACTCTACTATCTACACAATATACATAGACATAAAATGTAAAAACTTAAATATCTTAGAAACAGTAGCCAATCAGTTGTTTTAATTGTCATATTTGAATTCAGCACATCAAAATACATAATAAATAGCACATTTTATCTCTGAAGCAGACGACTTCTCAAAAATTGTAGACCAGTGCAATTTGCACAATGATTTGAGGTGTAGCAGGCTTCCAAAGATGCTTATTGGGATGGTTAGAGCCTTTATTTGCAATTATGTAACTTACTCAGTTGAGAGCTGGGAAACGTGAGTAGGAAGTGGTCCTAGGGGTTGTGGGGGTGCAGCTGAATAGCACCCCAAGGTGCAGAACATAGCTGCCCATCATTGGGCCCTAGATCGGAGCTTGGTGGAGAAGGTGGGCCTAGATACCTAACCCATTCCCAAAAGCCAGGAGATCAACAGAAGGCTTTACCTTGACAGAGAGTCCATCTGGGGAAGACCCTGACTGTTCAAGGGCTCAAATCCCCAAAGTCCCCATATTAAGACAAAAGCCTTTGGGGAAGCTTAAGGACATGACTATAACTGAAAAGAGGTGACCACCTGCTGCACCCCTGCCTGAGCCCTATGCAGCACTGGTGATGAGTGTTCCCCTTTTACACATGTATACTTCAACATGCAAAAGGTTTCTATATGCCAGTTGATCGCATAGCAATTCCTAAAAATTCGAGATTAAAAATAAAATGCAGCCCCTTTGCAAATCTATTTTAAATTTTTCATAACATTTTTGGAAGCTGTGTATCCTTGTTATGGCACAACAAGAATGTTGCTCTAGAAGTAATTTTAAGTGGGTTAGATTGCCAAAATGTCAATGGGCCATATTCTGCCTTTGGCTCCAATTGATTTCAAGTCAGTGGACTTTGACTCATTGTCAGTGAGAGCTATGCATACTCATCCAAAGGTAAAACTTGGCCCATTTGTTGTTAGTGCCCTTTGAGTTTGTGCATTAAGTCAGCTAAGTCATCATAAACTAGGAGATGTTTGTTTTGCTTTAATGACTGTTCGTATGACTGAACTATCTAACAACATGGTGACTAATCACAAAATATACATATTATGAGCAAACAACATTCTCAAGTTTAACAGTCTAGAAATACGAACGATGGGTAATTCAAAACTGATTTTGTTTCAACAAACATATTGAACTGCACCCTGCTCCTGAATGTTGTGCAGAGGAAGCAAACTTGTAGACAAATCTATGGTGCGGCCATACAGGAGGGAAATGTCTATGCAGGATGCTTCCCTGTTCCATGTAGCTGCCTTCAGCTATCCTGCAAAGCAGGGAAATGAGACATTGCCTGGGGTTGGGAGTGAAGGTGGTGTAGGTTAAATGGATATGAGTCTTCAAACACAGTTGCACCAGTTTTAACTAAATCAATTTAAGATTACATCTTTAGCTAAACTGGTTCAACTTTGGCTATGTCTATACTTATAGCGACATACACTGCACACTCCCCTAGCATGGGTATAGGTGGCAGCATAGATAGTGAGGCACTGCTTAGGTGAAGAGAGTTAAGACATGCCTGAACCTCAGGGTACATACTCAACACTGTTCAATACACTCCCAAGCAGTGCCTTCCATTGCCAGAGACTTTCCATGCCCAGCATGGGGTAGGCAGCAGGGAGAGGCTCCAGCAGCAACCTGCAGCAGGTAATGGTTCCAGCAGTGGGGAGCTGCTGGAGTCTTTCCCTGCTGCCCCAGAGCCTTTTACTGTGGCATGCAGCTACATACGGCAGTGTGGACGCAGCCTGCTTTTCCCAGTGGATTGTAGCTACACATACACCACATGCTGCTGCCAGCAATGACAAGGCTGGAACATGTGGACCAGGCCTAATCCTGCAAGTGCTGTATTCCCATCTAGCATCAACCCCAACACTTAAAAGTTTTAAAGGTGCTTAACTGCACCTGCAGTAGATGCTAACAGATGTTTCATATGGGATTAGTAAACAGGAGATGAATTGGTTTGGGGTTTTTGTTTGTTTGTTTAAATCATGCTCTTTCCTTGTTTAGACAAAATTGAAAGCCTGACCCCACTGATGGAAGGTTCCCTCACCATCAGAGGTTCCAATGAACATATTGAGGGAGATCACTGGAGGTTTTCAAAGGGAGGCTGGATAGCCATCTGTCTTGGATGGTTTAGACACAACAAATTCTGCATCTTGGCAGGGGGTTAAACTACATGACCTTTGCGGTCCCTTCTAATCCTTTGATTCTGTGATTCTAATGGTGAAACTTCTGTTAAATTCAGTAGGGTCTGGGTTCTACCCTATGTGTTTGGGAGCAGGAAGAAAACATGGGCTTCAGTGATATGCATACAGGACTAAATATGACTGAAATGTGTGATTTCTTCTTTTATTTGTTTTCAGGAAAGTTGTTTAGAACTAAAGATTTACCACTCATAGTAGAATTCTTTTTAATGTTCTACAAAGATAAGCCCATAGACTGGCTTCTAGACCACTTACTCTGGGTTAAAGTATGCAGTCCAGAAAAGGATCCAGTAAGTGTTTCCGTATTTTATTACTACAACATAAATTATATTATAAATCACAGTTAATGCATGATTCAGTTTCAAAAACAGAAAAGTACACATTCCATAAATGTGTTTTAGGGATTTTTAAACAGTTGTGGGGGATTGTACTGTAATGTGATTCAAAGTATAATTTAACTGAACTACTAGCTTGGACATCTTGTGTTAATAGTTTGTTTGATTTCACTCCATAATGAAGTAAGCATACACAACTATATTATTAACCAGTAAAAGCAATGCTTGCTGCTTAATATATGCTATGGCGACATAGGAATTAAAATGGCAAGAACAAAGATTAAAAGTAAACATCAAATATGAAATAGCTCCTTCTAAGAAACCTAATGAGGAAAAATGAGAATTTAGGTTCTAGTACATACAGATGGCTTGTGTGGGCAGACTTCTGCATTTACATGAAGCTCCACTGATTTTAATGGGGCTTCATATGGGTTCAGGAGTTTGCCTGTGTAGTCAATTGCAGAATTAGAGCCTTATGTAGCATATTATATTGAGACTTAGCATTTGATTTCATGGTATTTTCAGTCTGCTAGGATACTTAAGGTAAAATTTATACATTACTAATCAACACCTTAGTTTATTAAAACAACCAGTTTTAAAATCTAATTTGTTTGAAACTATTCATGCTATTTACCTTTTATATTTCCCTCTGTTTAGGAGTGGAAGACTGGTTTGTTTCTAGTCTGTTTCACTGTCTGGTCTCATGAGTTAGAAAAGGCTGTAGTATTTGTTTGCAAATAATGCAGGAAGGTGTTTAGAGCAAAACCAACCTAACCTACCTGTTTTAACTGAAATAAACAGTTCCAGGTTATATTGGGAAAGGTGCCATTTCTGGAGTTCCAAATGTTTCCAATAGCATTTTAACTATGTGATTATCTTTAAAATAGTTCTGTTTTTACACTCCTTTTTCACTTGTTTAGATGGCGCTTGAGTGTCTCTAACTCCCACACTTACACAGCCTGTGGTGCCTTTTGTCACCAACCATGGCCTTCTTAGATCCTGGGCTGGGCTAAGCGCTCATGAAATGGACTGCTGACTACACTACAGGGGCAACAAGAGGTTTCCCTCCCCCCTAGTTTTTAGAGTGCAGATGGCTTTACTTGAGGATAGGATAGTGACAGTTCTCACTCTGTGTTCTTTTTAAGTATTTTTTGTGTGTGTATTATTTTTTGTTGGTTTGGGTGGAAAATGACTTCATGCAAGAAAGATATGGGATGTGTAAACAGCTGAGTGAAAAGAGTTGAGCAAGTGGGCTTAAAAAGACTCATTATGATGACCTGCTGTAGGGAAGATGACCTTTGGGGATGGCAGAAGGTGGTTTGTTTTAAGCTCCACCAGTACAAAGAGGACTTAAAACTGCCTTAAGGAGGCAGTTGAGGATTTCCCCAGCATGGCATTTCACACTCCGCACTTAAGCATAGGAGGAATGAGGATCTCACTCCAGTAATCCTGGGCTGGCAACCCTGCAGCTCTAATTTATCCAGGGACTGAAGTGGCCCCAATCTGCCTCTGGTGCACAAACAGTGGGTGATGGCAAGATGTTATAATGTCACCTCTTCCCCCTCCATATTCCTCACATGTGCTGAGCCCAGCTCCTAAGGACTGAGCCCTTAGTTTTCATTTAAAAAAAAAAAGTTGGTAGCCCTTAAGGTTGTGAATCATACATAAACCAGGAAGATAAAACAGCACGTGTCTCTGCTTTTGTGTTTGCTTCAACTTGGCAAAAGTAGACTGACAACAAGTTTCTAGTGAGTTTCACATCTGCTATTCAAAATTCTGTGGGTAGCAGTGAAACTGTCAAGTCAAGTCAATTGCATGCTGCTATTGCAAGAAGAATGAGCAGCAGCAGAGGCAGCTATTTACAAGAATGCCAAAAACAGGAACTGGAGGAGGGGTACAATAGGACAGACAGCCTTTTCCCCCAGCAGCAGTTAATAAGCTGATATGAAAGATGGAAAGTAACTCCAACACCTTCCCTTTCCAAGCAACTGGAATTCTCACTAGTGTGTTGCCCCAGCCCATCCACCTCTGGTTGGTATGTTTAATCATCTGGCCAATAGTTTAAGTACATGTTTCCATCCCTGGCAGTGTTTTTAAAGCCATTGTAGAAGCAACCATATCTTTTCACTAAATGTTGGAGGAGTATGTTGGTGAATGGGTGCAGCCATCAGGTCCATGGGCACTTCAGGAACTTCATCAGATCTGCCTTTAAAAGTGAATGGATAGGTTCATATAATTTTATGGAAGTTCGGGTCCTTTGAGGATGAGTCAGTAGCTCTCCAAATTCCCACCCAAAAGTAGAAGAATTATCTAAAGGTGTGTGTGGGTGTGTGTGTGTGTACACTTCTGAATCTTCTAGACAGATGGAGCAGGGAATGGAGCATCATGTTGTGAACTTTCCTCTTACCATTATAACTCAGGTTATTATGGAAAAGAGGAAGCTGGCTGCAGCAACATTAAATTTGTTGATAAAATAGATGCCAAAAGCATCATAGCAACATAAAGGATGCATGTTGCACTGAGGAGAAGACACACAGCCTGTCTCATCACAGATGATATGCCCTCAGTGTAAGGATAGCAATAAGTAAACTCACTGGAGTGGAGGGAGACTAATGGGGGCTGACATTTAAAAACAAGAACAACAACAACAAAAAACAGCCCAAATCACTCTGCAGTCCTCCAGAAAAAAATCTCAGGTCAATTGGATATCTAATCACATTGATATTTACATGTCACTGAGGCATATCTAAATTAAGGTTACATTCACAGTGTGATTGGAACAAATGTTTTGGTTGTCTCCCACTTTCTTCCCCGGATCCTGAGGGTTGCAAGGATCTTAACTAGACTTCGGTACAAGTTAAAGTAGACTCACCATTCCTATAATGCAGTGGTTCTCAACTGGGAGTTCTGTCATCTCCTGGAGGTCTGTGAGCCATTTTTTGGGGGGGAGCGGCGAGGCCCCATGGCTGACGCCCTAAGCCCTGGTGCCCCCTGCAGGGCTGATGTCAGGAGCTGCAGAGCTGAAGCCTGGAGCCCCGGTGTCCCCCGTGGGGCTAAAACACACAGCTTCTAGCTACCCCCGCTACGTGAATCCTGAATTACCCTCTGCTTGCATATAGCTCCTAGCTACCCCCTGCCTGCACCCCGAGTGGTTTTCAAACTTTTTAAGCTGAGTCCTCCTCTTTGAGTTATAATTTTTGGTTGTACCCCTGCCTCCACAACCCAGACAGGCTGGGTGGTCTGCTGAGGTGTCAGGCGGTGGATATGGTATTCCCTCCCTGGGCCCTAGCATGTGGAGCTGGCCTGAGTCCTGCCAGGCCCTGTCCCCCCGCCCCCAATAGAAGTCAAACTATGCCTATGCCCAAAGGTCCCACCTCCACCCAGTGGCCAGAGCCCCAAGTCCTCTTCCCCCAACACACACACTCTGGCCCTGAATTTTTATAGCATGTTGTGGGGCATGGGGGTCTGAAAGAAAAAGGTTGAGAACCCCTGCTGTAGTGTATCATGCTCTAACTTTGCACACCACACCCCCTAGGCTGGGACCCTACGCCTACTGAGGATTCCTCTATGATTGCAGTATCCTTATAAGTTGCTTTAAGGTGGCTAAGTCCCTTTTGCATTGCTGCAGTGGCATAAAAAGGGACTTATTAGGGACCAAGGTTCTGGTGTAGTATTTTGTAGTTACTGTGATTATGGTAAAATACTGATTCCACCAGCTGGGACAATAACGTGTCACAATTGTATCTTTTTGTTTCAAAAGTGTAGCACCCTTTTCTAAAGAAACAGCTGCCGGTGCACTGATTTGCATTCACTCCCTTTTTCTGGCATTGTTTTACTGAACATCTGCTTTAGACGCACATATAAAAACACTTTATTCTATTTATATGCCCTCAGCTATCTTTGAGTATCTAATTAGTACTTCAATAAGAGCCATAAATCCCATTTGAGATTTTGCATTTGAGCTAGTTAGATGCAGCTTTTCCATCCCTTTTCACTTTAACTAGTACTGATAGAACTTATATAAAACCTTTAATCTATAGTGCTCAAAACACTTTACACAGTTGGTTAAATATTATCATGCCCATTTTAAAGATGTGGAAACTGGGATACAGGGAGATTAAGTGATTTACCAAGGTTGCACAGTGTTTCAGTGATGAGCTGAGAGTAGAACCCTGGGCTTCTGCCTGGAGTCTTGTGCTTTATTCTATTTAGGTCATGATGCTTCCTTATATTTATCATTATGACCTATTATATTTAGTGTTTCAAACACTAGTGTGCTCAAAAAAGCACTGCTGTTTACATCCAGAGCACAAATCACTTTTAGAGGAATATTCTCATATCTGAGAAAACAGACGGATGGAACAAGACATCACAGAAATTCTTACTGAAAGGCAGTTACTTGCATTTCCCAGTTTGTCAATTGTCCAAAGTTGTACCTAAATTAGAACAGTAAGATTTAAATCCAGTGCTTGAGAGCTCCACATCATTCTCAGGATGATCCAGCATAATGTTATGACAATTACCTGTATCAAACAACAGAAAGAGCCAGGAGTGAAAAAGTGACCAGGATCTACAACAAGGAGGTCAATGCAGATTATGGTCAGAGCAGTTTGGTAAAGGTAATATGATGAGCTCAAAAACTGAACTGAAATTTTTCAGGGAGAACCTGCAATAAGATACAGCTAAACTTGTGCTAGGATTACATTCCTCCACACTTTAGACAGGAAAGTGGTCTTTAGTTGATTTCTCTTATTGTTATTTCTTTGACCAAAAAACCCCCAAACAAAACCTAATAACAGTCAAACGTTCCGAGAGAATAGAGGCTTAAGTGAAGAGTTCCAATTCTGCCTTATGTGAATGGTCCTTACGGAGTCTCACTGAAGTCATTGGAATACTCCCCAAAGGATTACTTTTGTGAATATGGATTGCAGGACAAGCTGTAGCTATAGCTATGTAATGAAATTGAATTACTGATGGTAGGACAAATCCCTTTGTTGTTGAGGGGGGGAAATTCATACACATGACCTTTTTTTATTTCCTTTCCAGAAACATTGTGAAGGGCAAAAGGCCTATTTGCGTATCCGTTCTAAGCCATCTCTCTTTCAGCATGTGGGAATTCATTCATCTTTGGCGGGGAAAATACAGAATTTAAAAGTAAGACTCTTACAAAATTTGCCACCATATTTCTAAATTATTTGTTTGAATTCTGACTTGTTTGCTTTTTGAACTGAAAAACACTGTGTATTTGGTGATAAATTTCATGTACCAGAAGAGAGAGATGAGAGGAACATATTAATTTGTAATCTGAACTGAGTGGGGGAAATATGCTCACAGGACATATAAGGATATCGTCCCTGAGTCTGGGCCTTCAATTAATTAGTAGTAGTGGTACCATCATAGCACCCAGGATCCCTAGCATGGACTAGGGCCCCATTGTACTAAGCAATGTACAGACACACCAAAAAGATAGTTCCTGCCCCAAAGTGCTTACAATCTAAATATAAAACAAGAGACAACAGAAGGATACAGACAGATGGGGAAGTATAAGGAAACAGTGAGACAATATTGGTCAGCAGGATAAGCAGTGGTCTCAGCACACCAGCAGCTTAACTGTTGTCCATTTTTTTTGTAGGTATCACAGCAAAGGAAAGTTTTGAGGAGGGATGTGAAGGAGGATAATGAGGTAGCTTTGCAGATGTTTGAGGAGTGCCTCCTAACTGTGACAGGTGGCATGGGAGAAAGTACAAAGTCTTTGTTTGAAACTTTTACAAGTGGGAGATGGAGATTGGCCTTAGGAGCTGAGCAGAGGCTGGAGTCAGCATCTCAATAGTGAATGGAAGATAGGTGGAGACTGACCATGAAGGGCACTGAAAGTGAAGACATGTATGTTAGAGATAGCGCAGGAGAACCCAGAGGCAGATTGAGTAGATGGGCTTCTTTATTGCCATACTTGTTCCTCTTGACCAATTGTCGAGTAAGCACTGAATTAGTTACAGCACACTCTTTTTATCGAAGTTAATATGTGAATACCTACATTTACTACAACACCCCCAAAACCTTTATAGAGTAATATGAACGCCCATACAATGAATATTAATAGCTATATACTGAATATAATTGTCCTCGCCCGTTTACTCTTTACAGCATTAAGCATATTCTACAGACATTTTTACTTTGAAGAGACATTTCTTTGCAATAATTGCAGCCATGAATTCCCTTAATCAGCAGTTTGCAGGGAAGGGAGGAAGGGGCCATGGCCCCAAGCTCGTTTATTATAGCTGGGAATGGAAGGGAGGGGGAGATAACACTGCTTTACACAAAAAGTATCCTTTAGATCCCCACATCCCCATAAGCAGCTGCAATGCTTATCAATCCTTAACAAGCAGAAGGAGGGGGAAAGGGTAGCAACTTTATCTATCAAGCAAGGAGACAGTGCGTACCTGCGCCTACTCCCTATTACCAGGCTAGTGGTTACCCAGGTCTTTACTTAACCCTTACATACCCCAACAATGTAGTTTGTCTCCCCTTTTATCACATAAAATATAGTGGAGGGGTTCAAAGATAAGCGTGATGTGGTCAAAGTGGCAGGATAGGAAAATTATCATTACAGTAGCATTTTGAATGGATATGAGTGGGGTAAGGTTGCATTTACCAAGGGAAGAATGTTGCAGTAATCAGGATGTAAGATGAGAGCCTAGTGAGAATTTTCGCTCTGTGGATGAATAAGAAAAAAACGTATCTTAGAGATGTTATGCTGAAAGAATCTGCAAGATTTAGACATAGCCTGGATATGATGACCTAGAGAGAAGTCCAAGTCAAAGATAACTCCCAGCTTACTGGACTGAGTGGCGGGCAGAATGGTGGTGTTGTCCACAATGATCGAGAAAGGAGGTAGAGTGGTAGGCTTGGTAGGAGATGGGGAGGGGAGAGAAGAGTTTCTGTTTTAGCTATGTTGAACTTGAGCTGATGTCTAGACATCCATGAGGAGATGTCAGTGAGACAAGCTGAGATTTTAGTTTGGACAGGAGGAGATGGGTCTGGAGTAGAGAGGTAGACCTGAGAGTCATCAGCGTAGAGATGGCAGTTGAATTTGTGTTTGCAGATGAGACTACCTAGAGATAAGGTGTAAAGGGAGAAGAGAAGGGTACCAAGGACCCCCTCTGGAGCCCCCACAGAAAGTTGGAGGGGGAACATAGCAGGTCTTCCAAAGGACACAAGAAGTGATTAGAGAGGTAGGAGAACAAGGAGAGGACAGAGTCACGAAAGCCAAGGGAGGACAATATTTCAAGAAGAGCATGGTCAGTTGTGCTGAAGGCAGCTGAAAGGTCAAGGAAAGTGAGGATGGAGTACTGGTCCTGAGCTTCGGCTAGGAAGAGGTCATAAGAGACTTTAGTGAGACCTGTTTCAGAAGAGTGCAAGGGGTGGAAGCTGAAATAGAGAGGGTCTAGGGTGGAATTTGGGAAGAGGAACTCCTGACAGTAATTGCATACATTGCATTTATGATTTAATGAGCTTGGAGATGAAAGGGAGATGAGATATTTGGAGAGGCACCTGAGGTCAAGAGTGGGTTTTTCAATTACAGTGTCCTACTGTAAACAGAGGCTCCTCTGCTTAAACTGTGGGGGACACACCTTCCCAAGGAGGCCTCATTTATTAGGTTTAGATCATCTCAGATCCACAGTAGTCAGATGCGAATACTGTCTCAAGATACTCTGGGAGGGCTACATAAACAATGTAAATAATACGAACTAGCATAGGGCTTGATTTCTAGTCTACCCACAAGATTCTCCTGAGGTTCCTGAGGAAATGGAGAGATTCCTTCTGGTAGCCTTTCCTCCTTAGATACAGTCCTTTCCTTATACTCCCCTCTATTAGTAATGCAGCACAGGTCTGTATTGCCTGTGGCATACCTCCTCCCAAAAAGCAGTTGTCCTCACCACATAAGAGCACTTAAGTACAAGACTTCAGGAGTTCAGTTAGTGCTGTATTCTTACATAAAAATCACCATATTGGATCAGACTAATGGTTCATGTAGTCCACTTGTCTCTGACAGTGGCCTATACCAGATGTTACAGAAGAGAGTGTAATGGGAAATTATGGAACAGCCTGCCCATCAGAAAAGCTTCTACATCATTTAGGAAATGATCGATAAAGTTCATAGTTACACAACTTATTGTTGAGTTTTAGTGGTTTCACTGAATGAGCTCCCATAAATATGGGATGCAACATTTAAAACCTATATATATATCATTTTATATGAAAATAGTTCAGATAATGACTCTTCATTTTCTGTAACAGCCCTCTGTGATCCAAGATATTTGAACACTGAATTATGAGTCTTTATATGTGGTATTGTATCTCTTTGTGTCTAACAGGATAAAGATTTTGGCAAAAACATGCTACATAAAGCACATGTTAATCCCCCTGCAAAAGTGACTACTAGCCTAAGAATATTCCAGCATTATACTTTGGAAAAGGCTTATGAAGGAATGGACTGTTTTTGGGCTTTTTCTCCAGTGGCTGGAGATTATATCTTATTCACTTTTTTACAGCCATTGAAAGTAGAAGGGTGAGTGCTAAATGATATGGTAGGATACTTATACCCAGTTTTGAATCCTGTCAAGATTACCAATTCTCTATTGTTTGAATATCCACAAACTGCCAATTTAAATAAGTGTAATAAGTCTGCTATGCCCCTTTCCTCTTTTAACGCTTTCCCTGAAACACACTTCTTCCTTAAAAGCTTATGAATTCTAGACTTCTCCTCACAGGCATGAAAATTAAATACTTAACAAAGAAAGAAAAAATCAGTGTAAACCCTATGGTGAAAAGAATGAAAAGCAACTGATTGAGTGGTGACACTGTTATGCTTATAGAAGCATATGGGATTTTTTTCAGGGGAAAAGGCAATACGCCGCATTTATTGGAGACACAACAATTAACATATGCATTTAATATCTCTGTCGCGCGCACACACACACTCACTCACTCACTCACTCACTCACTCTCACTCTCTCCTGCCAGTCGATGTTATAGTTACCAGTCCAGAGTCCGGATCAATCTAGTGGCCAGCTAGGTTGATCACAGGTAGAGAGGAGCCAGGTTCTATCAGTCACGACATGATGCTACGGGGAAGTCTTGGCAGGACAAACCCAAAGTTTGAACAGGAACATCTAATTGAAATACAGGAGAAAACAATCATTGCATTCTTTTACTTATTTCAAAATGCTAAACCTACAACAAAGTGGTGACCCTAAAGGTCTATTACAGACTTGAAATCAGCTTCAGACACAAGATTCTGGCTGATGCATCTTTACCAATGGCCCATTAGGCCATTCCTTTCTGCTTTCAGAAAGGGTGGCTGGCAGGATATGGTCAAATCATACATCAATACATTTAATGCATGCTACATTATTATTCTTTATCTTTTATTCTAAATTATACAGAATACAAACATAAAATCCTACTACTACAACACATCTTGGCAGTTCTAAAGTTTTTGTATTAATTTTTGTTGCTTTGTTTAACGCTTCCCCCTATTATTTAGTTTATACTTCTTTGTGAGGAAGGCTAGAATTCATATGCCTTAAGGAAGAAATGTTTTAGGGAAGCACTTAGAGGAGGGGGATGAGAGCCTGGGCAAGGACCTTGTGTCTGCTTCTGAATTTACATTGGTGTAAATTGTTGAATTAAATGTAGCTGCAACAACATAACACTAGTGTGAGATCAGAATCAAGCCTCTTGTATTTTGTCTGACTTGTAAACATTTCTAATATATTTTATGCTACATACTCATATTTTACAATAATATATGGTTGTGCATTTCCAATACATACCACATATTTAAGTTTCTTAAAGTACCAATTTTATAACTTTTAAAACAGAGTTTTAGTGGTGAAATGCAGTTTGGCCTAAGAGCATAGTTTCTCCCAACACTGGAGTGCATTGGCAGAGCTTTCCTGTGTTGCCAGGAACGCCTATAGCAACGTGAATATAAATTAAAATTGGACAAGGTCTGCTTTAACTTATACCATCCTACTAGTCACCTTGTGGCAGCTTGCACCATTTTTTAATTGGACTGAAGTGTTGTTGGTTGGAGAACAGAGCAGTGGGCAAGGGATTTTTCTAACTCTGCAGGAGGGCCAGGACAGGTGTTCCTGTTCTGTGTCTCTCCTATGTGCGGGTGGGAAGTTCTTCTTTTGCAGATATTAGGAAATGATCTTCCAAAGATTCAGGAGATCCTGGAGACACACTCTAGGAGTGGGTTCCCACTTACAATTAGATCCTTGTTGAATTGCTTAATTAGCTGAGCTACAGTCCTGCCCTTTCAATGATGAAACAGGAATTGTCATAGCAGATTAGACCAGCGGTCCCTCTAATCCAATATGCTGTTCCGGAGTGTGGCCATTTCCAGATGCATCTTTAGAGGAAGGTGCAAGAAAGCCCATAGCAGACAACTATGGAATAACCTATTTACAGGGAGAGATTCTTCCTAGCCCCTTAAATTAGTAGTTGGCTTATGCCCTAAAACAAGAGGATTTATACACCTAAACTTTTTAATTTGTTTAATGTAATTGTGGATGTTCTCATTATCCATATAAATGTAAAATTTTTCTAATCCTAGTAAGTTCTTGGCATTGCTATATTTTGATGGGGGAGGGATAGCTCAGTGGTTTGAGCATTGGCCTGCTAAACTCAGGGTTGTGAGTTCAATCCTTGAGGGGGCTACTTAGGGATCTGGGGCAAAATCAGTACTTGGTCCTGCTAGTAAAGGCAGGGGGCTGGACTCAATGACCTTTCGGGGTCCCTTCCAGCTCTATGAGATAGGTATATCTCCAAAAATAAAAAAAGACAGTGAGCTCCACAGGTTAACTGTGTTATGTAAAAAAATATTTTGTTTTATCATGCTTAAATATGTTGTCTTTCAATTTAGTTAAATGTACTCTTGTTTGTGTATTATGAGAAGGGGTAAACAGAAGTTCCTAATTTTCGTTCTCTATATCGTTAATTATTCTGCATATGTCCATCCTGTCTCCTTTGACAAATAATGTTTTCTCTCTTGGCTTCCCAGAAAAAGACACTCTGCAAAAATACATTGTGAAATGCATTCTCCATCACAAAAAATGTACATGAAATCATTTAAACCACTAGATTTGTAAAATGTATTTTACAACAAATTAATGTAATGAAAAAATACTGTTGCCCCTCTGGTGTCTTGTGGGTCAGTTCCACGCTGGATGAAAAATTGGCAACCTGGGTGCCAGAGCTGGATATTTTCTTAGTGCAGCTTGGGTATTTTGCACTATATACACCATACTTGAAGAGAGGCAGCCTGAATATTGTTTGCCCATCTAATCTTTCAGGGATCTTCACCAAAACCCCAATGCCACACTCCTAGGGAGTACCTCTGCCTCAAGAACAGACTCAAGTTAGGGAGAATATGGCAGGGAGGAAACTGCTTTGCAGCATCACAAAACTAATAACAATCCAAACATTTATTCAAAGTTTTTACACTGCTTACACACTCAGAAAAAGAATTTACAAGATCATGTGTAATATCCCCATCAGGTGACCCCACCATAACAATATTGTAACAAATATTGCAGCATAAATAGAAACTGCTATGACTCACTAAGTTTATTAACATGTAAGCTATTGAATTATGAACATAAATAGTCCATATCTTCCATTTTCCCCAATGTGGGGTCTAAACAGGAAGAAGGTGGCTTCTACACAACATTGCCTTTTCTAGCTGATGCCCCACTACTCTAGTACTGCTAACTGTTGAGATTTTTATTGTCAGCCTTATATTTGAAGTTTTTCTTAATGCCTCAGCTGCAGGATTCATGTGAAAGTGAGAATCTCAGGTTTCATTTAAAAAAAAATCTTTTATGAGCCTGAATGGTTGCAAAGAAAGGATTATAAGCAGGCTCCAAGGCCAGAAGGCAAATGAAAAGAATCCAAAAAGTATTTTTTAAGATCTCATGAGGTTTTTTGGGGCCTAACTCATGATTTTTGAATGCTTGAAGTTGGCAATACTGTCACTCATTGGCCAATATTGGAGCTTCTTAGAAACACTTGACTTGATCAATAGCCCTCCATGCATAACTGAGGGCTGCCATTGGCATATAGGTCCCACAATAAGAGGTGCTAGTTGGACACCCTGTCATCAAGGAAGTTTCATAAGAATTAGGAGACAGCCCACTTTCTGAACCTAAAAATGCTTGATTCGCAAGGAGGTCCACACTCTTATAGCAAGACTTGGGGATGATCCTTATGCAGCTGCCTGCATGGGTGCTGCAGGCCTCAGCTAGGCTTTGGAATGATATGGGACCATTGGGGTCTGTGTGTAAGGGCTGGTGAAGCTTGGAATGGGTTAGATTGATTGGGATTTGAGCACAGAAAGGGAGAAAGGTTGGTGACAATTCGGCATGGTTCTTGCTTTCCCCTTTCACTGTTTCCAGAACAGGTTGTCTTTTGGGGATATATTGTTTGAAATTTAAAGGTTTTAATACCGTTTGGCCAACTGGCTGCAAATGTTAATGTATGTCTCTGGCTTCACTGACATGCTATTTGCAATAGAGAACGTATATTTAAAGTTTTACTTCAGAAATGATTCTTGAGAACTATTCATCTAGAATTTTCTACAGTACAAAAATATACAGAAATAATATAGTTCTCATTGGCAGGTACCTCTTTAGAAGTGGAAACATGGAACACCCTGGTGATAAACTGTTTAATACTACTGTAGAAGTTTGGCCTGCTGCTGTAAGTGTCTCATTTCCCACTGCAATACCCAATACTACTCATTTTATGAATGAAGGTTGGAAAAAATATAGTTTATAAAACCTGGTTGGGACTTCTACTCTTTTGTTTTGTTACAGGAAACAGAATTATTAAAAGATGCAGTAGGACATGGAGGCAAAGATAACTACCAAACAACCAAAGATGGATATTTAAAGATAGGTAAACTGCTTATCATTTCAGAGACAAACAGTTTGCTTGTATATAAACACTATTTTTAAAAAAAAACAAAACTATACACTTGAAAGCGCCATTAGTTCTATAAGAAACTCAGAATTTCAGTCAACTAGTAATCAAAGAATACATTTTGAACTACTGCAACATGCAGAAGTTCAAAATGTATGTGGCTTGGTTACTTAGAATTCAATATGGCAGAGTAATGAAAACAGACTTTAGTAAAGGGGATAGTGAAGGTTTTAAATTAAAGAAAAAACCCAATCATTTCAAGCTCTTCAGTAGGATAATTGACTGTGACTTGAGTTTTGCAGCTCAAGCTAATTGATTTTGACATCATTAACTTGTGGTTCAGCCAGCCACAAAGGTGAATGTTTCATCAGAATATGCTATTTTTAAAAAGAGCTTGTACATCTTAACATGATAAAAATATATTAAACAGTATTTTCTGTTAGTAATACACTGATGTACTGTCAACATAGCAAACCCCTAGGATACCAAAAGAATGTTTTCAATAATGTTCAGAGGCTGCCTAACTTCACAGAAAACAGCTATATGAGGGAGGATGACCCTTGTAATCTTTATCCCAATGGTTAGGGTACTGGGATGTGCAAGATCCCCTGATTCAAGTCCCTCCTCAGCCTGATGAGGAGAAAGGATGTGAACAAGGATCTGCCACCTCTCAGGTGAGTACCCTAACCACTGGTCTAAGTTATAAGGGAGGTCTTCCTCCTCTGGACATTGTGTGTGGGCTTTGAGCACACATACGGATTGGGCCCCGCAGGCAAGATAGGTGTCTACCCACCTACTTTCCCCTGGTCTGAGGATCTCTCTGGGGCTTAGGCAGGAGATTAGTGTGCAGGCACGTAGAGGTAGCAGTGTTCCTGCCCAGAGGCAGAAACATAGTCACCTAGGCCCTAGGGAACATTTACTGCAAAAATTTAGGTTCAGAGTGAGTTTGGGGACCTACAGGATTAGGCAGCAGCTAAATGGGGGTTTTGAGGATCACAGTGGCCCCTAAAAATGGGACTTGGCATCTAAACCTCCGGTGTAGGTGCCTAAGTACTTTTGTGAATCTGGGCCTTAGGTAATATTTATTATTGACATTAAAACTGTCTGTGCTAAGTCCACTAGAAAAATGCATTTCATTATAGCTCATACTAGTGCTGATTGGTTTTGTTTATACATAGGTACATTTGATAATGGAATAGCAGAAGGCATCATCAGTCCATCAGTAGGGAAAATACAGGCTATTCGTTTATCTATCCATTCTGATTCTCCTGTGTGGGCATTACTGAGTGAGGTAAGCATATGGGAAGCATATTAATACGTCTATTGTTAAAAGCAGTTTCAGCTCCCATTCCTGCCCCTGAGTCCACCTGCCAGTATTTATGGCTTTACGATCCCTTTTTCCTAACTTTTGGGGGGGAAAAATTGTGAAAGCCCCATGCAGACAAGGGGGAAAAAACTATACAGGGAAAACATGAAACTGCACAAAAAGTACTGAAAATAGACAAGGACTGATTTTCCAACCTTGCCTATGTTGAGTATCACTTACCTGAGTAATCCTCTTTACTTCAATGAGAAAAAGCCTATCAGTAAATACTACTTGGAGTAAGTAAAGCTAGTAGAATTTGCACCATGATGTACACAATTTTCTCCATGATTCATTTGTTTACTTTTATTCTTTTCTATCTTCTCTTTCAGTAGTAGCAATCTCAGGTCTTGTTTGTAGCAAGAGTAGGCAAACATCTTCAGACAATAGTGTAATTTTATAACTGCTTGTGTCTGACTGTTTATAGACTCAATAGTCTCATCTCATGGAGGGGGGAAATCTCAAAGGATTTCACTGAAAGAATTTGGAGGAAATCCATCACTGTATCTGAAAGGGGAAAATAAATAACTTTTATTCTAACGTTTGATACGATTTTTGTAAATTTATCATATTTTATTCCTCCCCCCCCTTTTTTTTCCAGATATTTATCAAGACTTCCTGAAAATACAAAACTCCAGAAAATCACATTTTTTATGCGTCTTTCCTTAAGGATTGCTTTGAAAAACAGGCCACCTGGTGGTAGCAACAAATGGTCTGCTGGGAAAAAAATAACAAACCTTTGTGTACTATTTACTACTACTACTACTTAATACTGTGTATTAAAAAGGGGGGAACCTAAAACTCAAAGACTTGAATATTTAAAAAATAAATCTATAAAATGTTCCTGGTAGACCCTTTATAAACAAATGCTTTATTAATTTGAATACATAGACATATCACAGGGAGCGAGCACTACACTACTGTAAAATTAAAACAACCTAGTCATTGTTAAAGACAAGATGTTATAGGACCTCTCTCAGGGAACGTAACATCAAAGTCCTTATTCCAAATTTAGTCCCACCAGAAATAGGGACATTTGGGAGGAAAAAAACCACCAATTTTTTAATTCCAATGAAATATATTGACAGAGCATTTTGGAGAAGTGGAGCAGAGTGGGAAAACAATCAATATTTTGCTATATTACATAGGACAGTCCACCCTAACTAGGGACAGTTTATCAATATGAAGAGCACACTGAAGTTTTATGATAATTTGAGGTGCTTTCTGTTAACTACTATTTCAGCCTTGAAGCCCATTTAGGATGGGGTATGTTTAGTACCTATTAAATAGAAAGCCCCTTCAAGTTATCATTTAAATAATAATAATCTTAAACAGTTTTTCTTCAGTGAAATATACACTACACTGTAAAATTGTACATGAATTAATAAAAAATAATTTATTTCCTGAATTGTATGTGCTGATGCTTAAATCCTAGTCAAAGAGGCACAACTTAGTATAAATTTTAAAATAAAAATGTAAACAGAAGCTCCATTTAAAATGAATATAATAAGGAATCCATAATACATAGTCAGGTCTGGTGTTAGTGTCAGACTTCATACACATACCTCTTTAGCATGTAAGTGTGCCTATTGTGTCTCTCTCACACACAGTCATTGCACATACTACCAAAAAATAACTACTTTACACCAGTTTTGCATCAGTGTAACTCCATTGACATCACTGTAGGCCCACGTTTCTAAACAAAATAATAATAAATTTAGAGCAAGAGAAGTTCATTTAAAATCCACTTTCTTTACATTGTTTGAAACAGAGCAGCAGTTCATGGTCTTTTTTAAAAAAAATCTTGTTTTAACATTAGAGTATTGTTGATAATGTATGGTATTAAGTATTCTGATATTTACACTTGTGTCATTTAACCCTAAGCAGGGAGCAATACAGAACTGCATACCTAAGGGGGAAGGATTGTTCCCAGCTTGCAAGGAGTATGTGCTCTTGCCATGCCATTCCTTAGGAGATTGCAGCTTGCTCACCTGGTGCACCCAGGCAGTAATATAAGCTGGGTGGGTCCATACTTCTTCCTCACCCCTTTTTAGGCAATTTCCACTGAGGTCCCAATCTTGCAAATATGGACACACATGAGAAACTTTAGTTGCATGAATAGTCAGGGATTTACATGCATGTTTGCAAGACTGGGCCCTCAGTGTGGAGCCTTGTGATCTGCAGAGTCTGCAGGCCAAACCTGCTCCCGGTTCTATGGTGCAACAAATCACTCTGCTTGGTGGGAAGATGCAGAGGAAACTGTGAGGGAACTTACCCTCATCCGTGTCTAATAAGTGAAGTATGATTAAAAGAAGTGAGATTAATATAGGTTAAAAAAATCTTCTGTTTAGGCAATGAAGATGTAGGTATATACTGTACAATGTTCAGTATGGTACAGCATACTACCTTCTCATTAGAAACATTTAATGGGCCAAATGTTGCAGTCTTCAGAAGGCCTCAAAGGTACTGGAACTAGGATAGTTCACTCTGTGTTACAGGAGTCCAAGCTGCACAGAATTCACACCCTTCTTCACCTGAAACACTGTAGCATCTCCAAGGAAAAAGACACTTCCATGGGGTTCCTGCATTCCAGAAAGACAAAGAAACATGTGATCAAGGCCCAAACTTTTCATTTTTCTGTTCACTGACCTTTAGAAACCCCAGTCAATGTGAAAATGTTTAAACCAAGCTTCTTTTCTGAGACTTCAGTTCCAAAGTGCACTGTAGTTTTTGGTATTCTCTGTTAAAATGACACTGGGTCCCAGGATTGTTATGTACATCTGCAGGTTTTCTGTCAGAATCCTGCAATGCTGAACCTGAGTTTTTAATTGACTGCAGTTTCTATAGTGTGAATCACATGGTTATATTGGGGCCTGCTCCTCCTCCCATTGAAATAAAGGGCAGAACTGATGTAAGTGGGAGAAGCATTGCCTCCCAGAACCTTTTCTCAATTAAGTGCCTGATCTAAGAAGATGTTGAGTGCCTCCTGCAAGGTGCTAAACACTCTCAGTTGCCACTGGCATCAGTGGAATCCAGCCACATCTTAGATGCCCCCCTGAACTTGATGTGGGGAGTGGCACAGTCTAGGAAAATATTTAGGTAAGCTGTAAACCACTGAAAATAGACCTAGAATGATAGTGCCTTGCAGTTTAAGCTAGTATAACTCTTTTGCTACTTAAAAGAACCCTTTTCTTTTTCCTCTCAAAGAAACTGCCCTTAAACTTTGAAGTAAAATGTCAAAGTTCACAATGCTTTGATCAATCTGAATTCTTCAGGGGTAACTAACTGCACTGCTGTAGATATTTGTTTCCTTCCATGCAGTCAGCCTTCTAGCTAGTCTAATCTGCCTACTTATGTTCTTATATGTTCCCCATCATTGTGATATCTGGGAGCTTTACCCATTCACTTTGAGGAAGTATAGGTGCATTATAAATATTAAATTAGTGTAAGTATTGCTTTTAAATAGTGTCTATTGTGGGCCAAATTTTGTTCCTAGTCTTCCCCCCCCCCCCCCCCGGCAGTGAACTCTGTCTGTACAAAGCTTATTGCAGAATCAGAGCCCTAATCACCCTAGTGTAAAGCCAAGCTAACTGGATCACTGGAGTTACTCTAGATTTTCATCAGGGTAATTGAGAACAGAGTTTCATACTCTAAATTTTCTGATACCTAAAAGGTGGTTGTAACAGTAAATTTGAGGCTGTGTTGTGAGATGCAGGAGATAAACACCACAGAATTCTAGCAGGTTAGTGTTTGGTGTCAGCAGGTCTGATTCTGCTCTCTGTTACAGTGGTGTAAGTCCAAAGTAACTTCATTGAAATAAACAGCTACTCTGGATTTAAACCAGCGTAAATGAGAACATAAATCTGGCTCAGTAGTCAAAATTTCCTATTGTAGCTTCACATTATGTATTTTACATTAAAGCGAATAGTGGAAGCTACAAACCTGCAACTCCAGGGAATTAACTCCATGGTTGTGCCCCTCCATACCAAGAGTTTAGCTCAAAGAAGAGGCTATTGAACAGGCAGGACATTCATGCTAACCCTTCAAACTGTGACTCAAACCTGTGAGTTGCATTTCAAACCAGAGCACTGAACCAAGAGAACTTACATAAGAAATTTCTGGGGACAGTGACATGGCTATTGTAGAATCCCCTTGTGGGCTCATTAAGAACTGGCAATGGCCCCACCTACACATTGGTCAGCAAGTGCCAGGGAATCTCAACAGAGCTGGCTGATACTTGAAAGAAGTGGAAAAAGAGGATAAGGAACATTAGATCATATGAGATCTCATAGAGAACAAAAGTATTCTTTGTATTATATGTTTATTATACAAATAAATATTGTAAACACAAAGCATGAAGGAAAGATTGTAAATGCCAGTTATAAAAATAAAACATAAAAGGGCAAAATGTCAGATTCCAAAGCAGGGCACTGAGCTCTCTTTCAGTAAGAAATACTATTTTAGTGCAAGCACTATATTGCCTTTATGGGGTTTTTTAAAAAATTATCCAAAACACAAGCTACCTCAGACTCATTATACACATATTATTAATTAGTTTAAAAGGTATGGAAGAAATTTCAGACAAATATTTACATACTAATAATGCTTGTTCAACCTATTTGATTTTCATTTAAGTACAACAAGAGAGTGACTGACTCTAGTGCCTATGTTTTAGCAGTCTGGTTTTAGATTTTTTTCCTCCCTCCCCCCACCCCATGGACTGTTAAAGGAAAATCCTAAAATCTGGTTAAGTTTAAAAGGAATTATCCATCTGGTTATTAATTTCTTTGTTGATTTATTTATTGATATCTTAGGGTTCTATGCTCTGTGGGAAAAAGTCTACCCTCCTTAATTATGTGACCAGTTGCATAAGGAAGGGAAGCTCCATGTGGCCCTTCTTGATACCTGTGCATAACTACTGTTAATACTGATGGACATGCACCCTGAGAAGA